GGGGCGGCTCTAGAAGTTAGGAGCGTAGGCCAGGGAAGCTCACCCATGAGAGACTGAAGTTGGGTGTCGACAGGCAGGTCACAAACCCCCAAAGGCAAGGCCGTAGTGGCTGCTCAGTAAATACCTGTGCACTCGAACTGAAGCGAGTACTTTTCCCCACCCCCCAGTACATAAATTACTTTTACTAATTACCATGCATTGAGTACTTACTACATACCAAACACTGAGCTAAGTACATATGTGTGTGTGTTCTTATTTAATTCTTCCATCCACTTGAAAATACAGTGATATATGCAATTATCGACATTTTACATATGCAAAAACCAGGTCCTGAGAGGTTAACAGCATAATTTGCCCACGGCCATGTGGATTACTAGTGGCAGGATTCTCTTGCCTTACTCCAAGTCCAGTGCTCTTTCTCCTGTACCCCAAACTGAGAAGAACACAGCCTGTCCAGAGGTGGGGATGGCCTAAGAAACATTCGAGGGAGCCCCCACACACTCCCGACATACTCACCCAGCTAAGCTTCTGTCCAGGTCACTACTATACCCTTGACCCTGACCCATGCCCCTCAGCCCTTCCTCTCCCCAAAGCACAGCCCCTCCCCTGCCATACCCCAGTGTAACTGAGCTTCTGGCCCCAGCCCTCTCCCGCTCCCTGGAAGTATTGTGTCCTGAAGGGGTCATCAGAGCCCCAGGCCTCCAGAGAGCTGAATGAGGGTGAGCAAGGCCCTAAGGGAGCTTCAAAAAGTAAACATCTGGACCCTGTGCCCAGAAATTCAGAATTAGCCAGTCTGTGGTGGGATCTGGGCTTCAGTATTCTTTTAAAAAAACTCCTTTCAATTCTAAAGCACAGCCAAGAGCTAGAACCAGTGCTCTAGGCAGCTGCCAGGGATCTGGTCAGAAATGCAGAATCTCAGGCCCCACCCCAGACTCAAAGAATGGGAGCCAGGTGGTTGTGTACCTTCACGTTGAGAAGCACTATCCTAGGCCAACTCTGTCTCCAAAAACCGGTGGCTAGGGGTGCGAGGGCCCCGCAGGAGATGGCAGTGTGTGTCTGAGGTGCTGGGAGCGGACACAGGCCTGCGGGAACACAGGAGACAGCCTGGACCACGCAGCGCCATCCGCAGCACACCTAAGGGCGGTGGAGTGCTTTCTCAGGGTGGCCCATCCGGTCCTCAGCCCTGTGCTCTGAGGGAGTGGGGAAAACGGTCTCACGCCCACCTGGGGAAACTGAGGCTGGAGCAAAGGCTTGACTTAACCAGCACCGCCCCTCACCCCCGCGCAGCCCCTGGCTCTGGGAAACACACTTTTCCCCACCTCATCTCAGTGTGTCCTAGGAGAGAGGGAGGGCAGGAGGGTGATCATTGCCCCAGGTGACAGATGAGAGACCGGGGCCCAGGGCAGAGAACCGAGGGCGGAGCCTTACACAAAGCAGGACCAGTGCCCTGGGAAGAGGGCGCAGGGAGCTAAGGGGTTAAGGGTCACTGCTGACCAAAGCAGCTCTGCCAGGCGGGGTCATCAGTGGGCCTTACGTTTGATTGACAGAATTTCATTCTTTCCCCTCCTCTCAGGGGCCAGCTGAGGAGTAAGTCTGGGACCAGTGTCAACGGCACCCAAGGTGAATCCCAGGGAAGCCCTGGCACTCCCAAAAGCCCCCTCCGCCCAAGGACGGGAGCCTGAATCTCCACCAGCACACTCACACTTGGAGGCCCTCGCTGTTGGGGAGAGAGGACGGGCACAGAGCCCGTCACCACGCCTCACTGAGGATGGGCGGACTGGATTGGGATGTGGTGAGGGAAGGGCCCTGACCAGCATCTCTGAGGAAGGGTCAGGAATGAGGGGGAAAGGGACCCCTCCACCCCTCCAGCAGGGAAGGGAGCAAAAGGTGGTGCTGGCCCCCCTGGTTGTCCTGCCCAGGGTAGAGGCCCCCGGGTGTCTTCGCTGAGGGCCCTGCCCCCCTCTCCAAACGCCCTGTTCTCCAGGAACGAACATGGGCCTTCGCCCTCCCCTGCTGGAGAAAGCTGGGCCCCCAGAGCCTGGGATGGGATGGAGGGGATCGCAGTTGCCAGCAGGGTGG